GGAGAGCAGCAGCCGCTGCCCCGAGGGCCCTCTTCCCGCTCACCGGCTGTGCTTCCAGGCATTCCGGATGTCCTTCAGCTTGCTGTTCCTCATGTTGGCCACGGAGAAGATAAAAAGGTACCTGTACGTGTCCACACATTTCCGAAGCTGCGGAACAAATGACGGGGCTCAGGAGTGGAGGCAGCGCGCGCTGGGGCTGCCCTGGTCCTGGGAAGGACTCACTCTGGGCCCCTTACGCTCCGTGTTTATAACTAAAGGCCTCACATCTCTCTACCTCCACCACTGAGCCAGGGCCACCCCTACAGGGGGTCTCGAGGCCAAGGTGCAGGGGGCCTGAGGCAAGGTCAGGCTCCACACCTCCCCGAGTTTCTGAATCGTGTGTTCACCCCGTCTGTTAACTGTTGGCAACCTACAGTGAGGAGGCTCCGGCTAAGCGGAAACACAGCTGCCAGCCCTGCTCTGCCCTTGTGCTGCCACAGCCTGCGGGATGCAGTCTCGGGGAGAGGGGCTCTCGGGGCAGGCCAGCTCCGCAATCTGCAGCCTGAAGCAGCACAGGCTGTGGGGCATCGTTTACCCACATCCACACCCGGCCTATGATGCCGGGCAGACAAATCTCTTAAGTCTCTGTCACTGCACTACAAAACACCTGTGACTGTAACTGTATCACCTCGAGGCTGCTGCAGGGTGCTATGGAGTGACCCGTGAAACCCTCAGTGCAGTAGAGGGGGAAGGGCCAGAAGCAGCAGCTTGGTGTTTGTTTAAAAAGTTTTTTCTGGATGAACTGCCCTAAGCCCACCTTTCTAAAGCAAATACCACAAAAGCATAAACAAGAGCTCACCTCTTCAATCAGGTTCTGTTTCAGTTCCAAGCCTTTCTTGGCAGTTTTGGTTAAGGAAACTGAGACAAAGAAGAAGATGACAATGAGGAATTAACCTGTGTACCAGAGGGCTCCCCTTCTTCTCCCTTTGGGAGCCGGGCTGCATCAGTCAGTCTGAGGAACGCCACCGAACCCCCTATTCTCTCCCCGCATTCCTGAGCCTGGAGATCCTTGACTTTTCTGATGCTTAGACAAACCACATTATCCACAGCCCATCTTGGGGGAACCTGAAAGCCCACACCGCGATGTGGGGACAGCAGCCTGCTCCTGCTCTAGGAGTGCTCTCTGGTCCAGCGCCCTCCCAGGCTGCTGGGGAACCCTGGATGGTGCAGAGACCATCTATGGCTCTGCTGTGCAGTGGGAGTCTGGGAGCTGTAATTCTTGTTAGTCTCTGCACTTGTTTTGCAGCCTGCAGCCACAGCTGGAGTGGTGTCTCTGGGGAGGACAAGCACCTATACATAGCAACAGGTGGGGCCAGTACGCCCCGACTTCAAGTTTGCACCTGCCAGATCCAACTAGGGCTCCCTCCACAGAACTGTTCCTTTGGAAACATTTAACAGGGCATACCAGTGCGAAGCCCTGGCTGCCCCAGGAAGGGGCCACCTCTTAATTCATGGGGCTCAGTACTCACAACCGCTGCTCACAAGCACACATGTAGAAAGGTAATCCCGTCGCTTAGGGGCAATTGCAGCAAAGACGGCAAGCAAAACACAGGCATGCTTCCTGTCAGCCCTACTGCTCTGGGATCCCCGCATCCCCTCTGGGATCCCCCTGCTGGCCCTGCATCCTTCCTTGCCCTCTCACCCCTCCTCCTTGAGTCTGCTTTCAACAAGGGAAACATCTTAGAAAAGTCAAGTCAAACCACTTTTCTGCGCACGAGCTCTCTGATGCCACCCATTTCCCCTGGGTGTGAAAGATAACTCCTTCGCAAAGGCCAGTAAAAATACCCACTGTCACAACTCCCTCCTCTCCTGGGTCTTTGCACTTTGGGTTCCTGGCTCTTGGGGAACCCCTTGCAAAGAAGTGGGTTATTCACTTCCTTTCTTCAGGATTCTGCTCACTGTCACTTCGTCAGAGAGGCTTTCTCTGGTCACATCATACAAACTAACATCACGTTCCCTCAATCTTACTCCACGGGACTCACCGCTGTCAGATTACTTACTTGACTCTCAGTATGTTTTGGGGGGAGAGGGAGAGGGAGATCTATCAGCCCTAACAAAAACGTCAAGCTCACGAGGGCTGGCCTTCCGTTTCTAACGCAGTGAACCTCCAACAACCAGGGAATGCCAGGCCCGTTGCTAGCTGCGTGAACTTGCTAGAGATCGGGATGAGAAAGTCTCCACTGCGATATAGTCTTAGCAAGTACTGATCGCTGAGAAAGCCAGCCGCGTGAGGCGCGTAACCAGCGTCCCAGGCAGAAACTGCTCCCAGGACAACAGGCTGGACGCTGCAATGATCCCGCGCTGAAGGGAGGGGAAAGGGGCCAGGGTGGCAGGAAGCGCCAAGGGAAGGCAGAGAGACCAAAGGGAATGGGCGGTCTGAGGGGAGATCGGTCGCAGCCTGGGCGCTGAGAAACTGTCTCGCGGCCCGGGGCTCGGTCGCTCACTGGCTGCCTTCAAGTCTCGGCGGCGCAGGCCGCTCCAGCCCCTCTGGCGCTGCGGCCGAGCCGGAGGCAACCCCGGCTGGCCACACGCCGGCCGCGCGCCCCAGGCCGTCCCTCTGCGCCCCGATCGCGCCCAGCCCCGCAGCGCCCCACACGGTCTCCAGGCCCTCGCCCACCTTTCTTGTCGCGCTTGGACTTGGGCATCGCGCTGCAGCCACGTGCGGCGGAAGACGGCGCGGCTTTCTAGGACCCGGCGCCGCGGGGGCCTCTGGCACGGCCCTCCGGGGCTGTCCTCGCGCGTGCCTGACCCAATCTGCGCCGGCGCCCACCTCCCCCCACCCCCGGCTGCCGCTTGCACGCTCCGCCGCGTCTTCAGGACCACTCTCCGCGCGTCCGCGGCCCGCGAGTTGCCTGCGCCTCCCGCGGGGCTTTGCGCCGCCCCCAACTCTATGGTTCCGCGGAGGCGGAGTCTGCGGCCCGGTGCATGCTGGGCCGTCGGCGGGGTGCCCGGGGACCCATCATGGCGGCGGCGGCGGCGACTGGCCGCTTCTGGCTGTGGGTCGCCCTGCTGCTCCCCGCAGCCGCGGTCTACGAAGACCAAGTGGGCAAGTTTGATTGGTGCGTACGCGTGGGGTGTATTCGGGAAATGTGTGGCCGTTTCCCCAAAACCTGTCTTCTTGACTGAAGAGAGGGACGTGATCATGCAGCAGGTCTCGCTACATAGGGTGCAGCGCCCAGGGCAAAATGAGATGTGGGCGCCATTCTCAAAAATTGAGTTGGCGGCACGGAGCGTTGAACACGCATTGGGGGCGCTTCGAAGCCGGGCTCTGTGTGACTTTGTAGGTCGCAGCCGGTGAAGCTGGCCCTGCCTTTCGGACTTGCTGGGGGTTCTGGTCAGAGGTCTCGTATCTTCTCCCCCCCCCCAGTCCCATTTATTTGACTCTCGGTTTCTGACCGAGTGGATATCAGAAGTCATCAGTGAACTTTAATTCCTCCTCAAAGTGGCATTTCTTGGGCGTCTGAAAGGGACTTGGTCTCACAAGCCTAAACTGACTCTTCCTTCCCTCCCTCTACCTGGGCTCAGAACAGGCTCCACCCAAGACCCACATTTGCCAGTAGGTGCCATTCATTCGCCTACTCACCTACCCCTTCCTTAAGGTCCTTCCTTAAAGGACCTGACTTGCTTTTGTTTGAATCTCAGTTTTGCCACTTAAGGGTTGCGTGACATGGGAACATGATTGAACTTGTTATGTTTCTCAATTATTATTTTTTTCAATCTGTAAAATGATCTACAGCAGTTGCAAGAATGTCTGAGGTAATTTTTTCGAATTACTTAGCCCAAGGAGGATAGCATTCGTCTATGGTGGCTGCTGACGGCTTTATAGTGATGAGATTTAACCCCTTGTGCCCCCAGGGGTTTAGAGTCAGATGGTGTTTGTTTTGTGTTCAAGTTCTGACAGTAAATAGTTGACCCCAGGGACTTTGGCTTACTTACCTGCACAAGAGAGGCAAAATGTTTGTCCTGTTTCACAGGGTGTTCAGTGGATACAGCGCAAAGTAAAGTATGCGAAACTGTCAAATGTCAAATAAGCTTGTGTCATTTGTATTTAACATGCTGGCGAAGGCAGTATCTCCTCATTAACAGCAGCGGGCCAACGCCTTCTGTGTACTTGGTAGTGTGCCATGTCCTGGTCTCTTTATGCCTAGGTAAGAGTGTTGAGGTCATGGGGTCTAGTCCAAGGCAAGTATGCATCCAGAATCAGCTGGATCCTGAGCTTGGACTGGAAAAGACCATGGAGAACAAACACTTGACCCAGCTTATGGCATTTGTTGGAAAATTTGTACAACTTTACCCCCAGAGACCAGCGAATATAGAAGGGCAAGAGGGTTTGTGTAACGTGAGGGTCTAGCCCACTGTGATGAGGAGAGAGGATTGCAGTGCTTGCTTGTGTGGGATGTAGGCCAGGTGCTCTTATGGATGTTGCTTATCTTGAGGTAAATATGTGCTTGCTTTAGAAGGAAGGTTTGTAGTTCTCATCTTTTGTACTGTAGAAGTCCTTCTTGTTCCTTTTGCTACCAACAATAGGGCATAAAATCTTGTCAATGTCTTCATTGACAACTGTTCGTCATACATGCTAAGAAAGAAAGGCGTGATGGTGATATCCTCACGCAATTGTCTGTTTCAAAAGCATTCCAGGAAGTGATGTTTTGGTTCCTTATGTTTTTCTCTGTACTCTTTCCTCAGGAGACAGCAGTATGTTGGGAAGCTCAAATTTGCCTCCTTGGAATTTTCCCCTGCATCCAAGAAGTTGATTGTGGCTACTGAGAAGAATGTGATTGCAGCATTAAATTCTCGGACTGGGGAGATCTGTGAGTGGTGGTGTGGACTGGTCAGCGTGGGATGGAAGCTGACCATAGTGAATCCAGGAGTGCCTAGGGTTTGTGGAGTCTTCCTGGCTCATTCCAAGTTAGGGACAGGTCAGCCAAAGGATGCATCTCTTACTGGATGTGGACACACGTTTTGTTTTTTTCCCTGGTCACGTCTTTGCATACTGAATATATTCATATAACTGAGTTTTTTGGTTTTATTCCCTCTGATTGAGCCTTGAATATTTTTAAATAAGGCGTTGCTGCAAACATACATTGTTCTGTTTTGCACTAAAGGTTTGGATAGCCCCTTATGTGACTTACACTGATTTAAAAAAAAAAGGTTTATTTTTATTTATTCATCAAGAACAGGGGTATAGGCCCAGCTGCGGGTGTGTGTGTGAGAGAGAAAAGGAAGGGGGTTCACGAGGGAGACACACACACACACACAGAGAGAGAGAGAGAGAGAACTCAACTCATGATGCAGTGGCTGTGATAGTGTAATAGTGCTGAGACTTAAATCCTATGCTGCCGGGGAGGCCTAACTTAAATTACTTTCTGAATTTTCTAGGCCCTAAAGTCATGGAAGGACAATTGCAGCCTCTACTTTTCTTGTGAATCACATGGGTTTTGTTAGCTGGCCACTGTCCATGTTTGTGGGGCAATGGCAGGAATGGGAAGTGCTGAGATCTCAGGTTGGGATGGTAGTGGCTCTTCTTGACCTCTCAGTCCCTTATCACCTAGTAGGAATGATTATTGTCAGTTAGCTGTGATCCTACCTCACCAATGGGCCCCCCACGAAGGTCGTGTCAGCTGTGTCCCAACCTCAGCAGCTCCTTGGACACCTTCTGCCGTTGGTAGTAATGTCTGACCCTTACCTCTCAGTGTGGCGCCATGTTGACAGGGGCACAGCGGAAGGAACTGTGGATGCCATGCTGCTGCAGGGGCAGGGTAAGTTGGCCCTCCTTCGGCACCACGTGTTGCCAGCTCCCTCCCCCCACCCCCATTCTTTGGTTCTTCCTTTGTACAGATTTTGCATAGTAAAGTGGGGTGGGGGGTGTATTCCCAATAGGGTAGGATAGGGCTGCAAATTACGTGTCTGCACCCATGTGTCAGTGGTGACGCCACTGTTCACAGATGTAGGAGGCTGCAGACCCCGGGGGAGGTGACCCCACATGTTCTTCTCTCTCCCAGATGCCGTCACAGTGTCCAATGGAGGTCGGATCATGCGTTCCTGGGAGACTAACATCGGGGGTCTGAACTGGGAGATTACCTTGGACAGCGGCAGGTGAAGGGCCAGGAGCTGCCTTTCTTCTTGGCTTGCTTAAAGGCGCTGCTGCCATTCAGATCTGCGTGGACAGCAACTGGGACTGTCCCTCCAGGCACCACTTAAGAGCCAAAAAGTATTTGCCACCCAGTTTATGATGGCCCTTGAGGCCCTAGAACCCATCCTGCTCAGCCGGCAATTTTTTTTAAAAAAGATTTATTTATTCATACAGAACTGGGGTACAGGCCAGAGGCTCAGAGGCGGTGAGAGCATTCGCCAGAGTGGGGAGCAGAACAGGCAGACTGACGAAGTCCACTGCTGAGGGGAGCAGTGGGCGGGTCAGGAGAGGTCTGCCCGTCATGTGGGTCCCTCCACGGCGGGGATTGAACTCGTGCTGAAGTGGCTTTAGCTTCTCAGTGCTGCGCTTTAACCCGCTGCGCCCCCAGGGAGGGCCCCCAGCCAGCATTTTTGAACTCCTCTCAGATGCGAGCTTGTGCTCACTGCAGCTCTTGCTGCTGTACTTGCATACTTGTCCACGTCTCACCAAGACTGGGAGTCTGTGGCGGCCTAGATAGAAAGATGTGACAGCTTGAGCTTCACTTACACCTGTGCTCACTTGTAATTTTAGGGTCATTTCCTTGATTAATTCTGTAAACACTTGGTGAAGCCCCAGGTAGTGGGAACAGTGACACCATCTCTGTCACTGAGGAACTCATGGGGGGGTGGGGGGGACACTAACCCAGTAGTGACAGGACTCTCTTGAGTGTACCGCAGTGGAGCATGGTTGACCTGGTTGCCGTGAGGTCCCGGGGAAGAAGGGAACAACCCCGAGGAGCTTGGTGAGGGAGAAGGACAGGGGAGAAGTTCGGGGCTTCAGGGATGCAGTACAGCCGATGAGTGCCAAATGTGGGCTCTAGTCAGCTAGTGAAGCAGAACCAGCACTAGGATCCGGGTGCCTCTGACCCCCAGCCCTGTTTTTTATAACTAGGCTATAGTGGTGGTGTGCTGACCACCTCTAGCCTGAGGCCTTGGGCTCACACTGTACCTCTGTTCAGTTTCCAGGCCCTGGGGCTGGTTGGCCTGCAGGACTCCGTGAGGTTCGTTGCCGTCCTGAAGAAGACCACTCTTGCCCTCCATCACCTCTCCAGTGGGCATGTCAAATGGGTAGAACACCTCCCAGAAAGGTGAGGCTGCCAGCTTGCAGGTGCAGCTTTTTCATCCTGCTCTCTCAGCCCTTCTTTTCTCCTGAGGGGCCTGGCGTTTGCCTGGGCCAGGCTCAACCACTTTGGCATCTTGTGCATTGCCTGGGGCTCCCTGGATCGAGGCCTGGACTCAAAGGTTGTGCTCGTTCTGGCATTTCCTTTGCTGCGAAAGAAAGTTCAAAACAGTCAAGCAAAGGCAGTCACTCACAGGCTCACGGTTACAGGACATCAGGCTTTTTGGCTTTTAATCCAAGCTAGATTCAACTTGCATTCCTGTTAAGAATTAGAACAACTCAGGAAGCTCCCAGATAGTAGGAGCTATCTGAGGTGTGAGATGGTTTCCAGAAGTCCCACTGGTGGAAGGCATTGGAGCTGGGAAGGAACAGGAGGGAGGGAGGCAAGGGAAGCTTCTGCTCAAGGTCCTGAGGGACAGCCCCCCCCCCCCAGCAGGCCCCTGGGGATCCTTGGGAACAGCAGTATGCCTGGCCTACCTCTAGGGGGCAGCCTCGCCCCGCTGCCGGGTGCCCTAGAACTTTGGGACTGGCCTTGACCAAGTAATGTCGCAATTCCACATCCTGGCAACAGATGAAAAAAGCCACTTTTTTGAAGTTAAAAAAAACTGAGCCACTCACAACTTACTTTTTCGGGGACTGCTAATTTGTGATAACTAGCTGAGGGCCTGGCAGCCTGGTTTGGGTCCCCAGAGGCTGGTCCTGTCCTGTGGCTGATGGTTGCTCCTGCGTCTCCCCTCTTGTCAGTGACAGCATTCATTACCAGATGGTGTATTCCCGCGGCTCTGGGGCGGTGTGGGCGCTCGGCGTTGTCCCCTTCAGCCATGTGAACGTCGTCAAGTTTAACGTGGAAGATGGAGAGATTGTCCAGCAGGTGTGACCGGGCCCCTGGCTGGCAGAGCTGGGCAATTGAGGAGGGGGCTAGACGGAACCCCTCTTTACACTGGGGACCACTTGGCTGGGCAGCTGGAAATTCCATTTCTGGGCCCTGATTCAGGCCAAGTTCAGGTTCTTCTCATGAAATGTTTATTTAAAGCCCTTACATTTGCATGTGGTACTTTTTTGGGTGGTAAACAGGCTGCATAGATACTTGTCTACAAGTATTTTGTAAGATACTACTGTAAAATAACAAAACTGCGTTTGACAAATACAGCAGAAAGAACCGTATCCGAAGTGTCAGGTGTTAAAAGTGATCCATCAACCAGAAAGAAACCTGTTTTCTCCAGCTGCCCGGGGAGGTGGGGCAGGGCAGGGCGGGCAGACCTATCTGGGCTCAGCCACAAGGAAACTGTCTTAGTTCCGTGGGGTCTGGTGGTGATGTGGCTGATGGCAGTGGGAAATGTGAAGCCCCTGACGTGCCTCCTGTCTGATGCTGCTCCCACAGGTCAGGGTCTCCACCCCCTGGCTGCAGAGTCTCACCGGCGCCTGCGGCGTGGTGGGTGAGGCCGTCCTGGTGTGCCCTGACCCGAGCTCGTGGTCCCTCCAGACCTTAGCCCTGGAGACGGAGTGGGAGTTGAGGCAGATCCCCCTGCAGGTGAGCGCCGACGCTGCCCCCCCACCCCCAGGCCGGGGCCCAGCCTTGAGCTTTGTCCGCCTCCCAGTGTCACTGCTTTGCTCCTGGCAGCTGCTGGCTGCTCAGGCCTCTGGGGGAGATGGGCCACTCTGCTCTGCGGAGAGCCTGAATGGCAGCTTCTGGAGCCATGTGCTGTGGCCCACTTACCCCTCTGGCACAGGTGCAGAGGACGCAAGCCTGGGATGGGCCTGTGGTTTGTTGCTTTCTGACCCTAATCGCCCTCTTTCTCACCTCCCAGCATCTCGACTTAGAATTCGCAGATGGATTCCAACCCCGGGTCCTGCCTACACAGCCCAACCCAGTGGCTCCTTCGCGGGCCCAGTTCTTCCTGCAGCTGTCCCCAAGTCACTACGCTCTGCTGCACTACCACGACGGGGCCGTGAGTCTGCTCAGAAACTTCCCACAGGTGAGCGCGGGACTGTTTGCTGGGAACATGCTGGAAAGCCCCACCTTGCTCAAGACGGAAGACACCTTTCCCTAAACGGTGTGAGGGGGTAACTGTGCAGCAGGAATGGACCCTTTTTCGTGTGAGGTTATTTAACATATCGCTCTTCCTCTGAGGCCCTGGAAAGTGGGGGTGTTCCTGAGCTCCTCTCTGGGATTTGGGTCTGACCAGTGCCTGTGTCGGAGGGAGGCGAGAGTCCTGTGTGCAGCTGTGGGTGCCCTCCGCTCTTGCACGGCCTGGCCGTGGAGCCCCCCTGTGGAGGTGACTTCTTAAGGCTCCTGGTGCGTACAGGCCGCACTCAAGAACTAACACCTTGCTCTCCCGCCAGACTGCCCTCGTGAGCTTTGCCACCACCGGGGAGAAGACAGTGGCTGCAGTCATGACCTGTCGGAATGACGCTGTGAGTGTCAGAGTAACAGCAGCTCTTGGAGTTTCCTTCCTGGTCTCTGTCAGAAACCCTGAGAGGCCGAGTCTGGGCTAAGGTGCCTCGTCAGTTTGAATCAGGGAACAGGAGATTGTTCTGAAGGAGGTTCTCGCTTCATACAGAGAACTTCGCCAACAGCCCCGGGGTCCCCAGGAGTGACACCTCACTTGTGTTGGGACAGGGAAGGGTTGTGTAAGCTTTGTGGGCTTGGAGGAGGAGGGAAAGCTGCCTTCTCCCCAGCGCTGAGCAGGCATGGAAGTGAAGCCTTCATTTTGGTACTTGGAAGTGACTGAATGTTGTCCTTCTGGCCTCTTCCCCCACCAGAGACCTAGCAGTTCCGAAGATGGGCCGGTTGGGGGCCTTGCGGAGAAGGCTGGCCCCCAGGTAGGTGTGGCGAGGGCCCGTGTCAGACCTGGAAGCTCCCCGCTGAAGTTGGGGGAGCAGCTCAGGCTTTGGATGGGTCTCCCGGGGTGGTGTGAGCACGGTGCGTCACACCTCCCTTCTCGTGATCCTTTTGAGTTGGGAGGTTGGGAAGTAGAATCCCTGGAGTCTGTTCTGGAGCCACTTTCTCCTGGATCTTAGTTGCCTGGTTTCTTTGGGACCCCAGCTGGGCTGCTGTGGCGTCTGTGCCCTGCTTTGTGGCGCCGGCTTTGGCTGCTTCCCTCCTGGGCTGTCCTGAAGGGCCGTGCTTGCCCGGCTCCTGTCCTGACCTCTCAGACAGTTTCTGCTTCTGTCTCCTTTGGAAGCCAGTACCGTGGCTGTAATTTTATTTACTCAGACACTTGATTTCTGCCTTTGTGATTAGCTTGCTTTTCTCCTATTGCCCTGTGAGCCTATTTCTTCTTCTGGCCTGGGTCCTTCTCTAGGGGACTTGCCCCCAGTTCTTAGGCTTCCTTTGGGGGATCCTTCTAGTTGACCCCATGCTGTTTGTATCCCTAGGACTCACTGACTTGCTTCAACCAGACATACACCATTAACCTCTACCTCGTGGAGACGGGCCGGCGGCTGCTCGACACCACCATCACCTTCACCTTGGAGCAGAACGGCACTCGGCCTGAGCGGGTGAGTGGCACCTTTGTCTACATGCTCTGTCCTGTGGGCTCTCAGCATGGGGCTCCCCCTCCTCAGGGCCAAGAGACAGCCATGGGTCCCCAGTTAGGTTCCCGAGCCACTGACCTGTCATGAGTGCCTGTGACTCGCCATCACAGCAGGGACTGTTTATACTTCGCTGTTACTGTGCCTGGCTGCGCTAGGCTTTTTCCCTGAGGCGTTAATTGATCCAACCCTTGAGTCAGTCTTATTCCTCATCTTACAAATGAGGAAAGTGTGGAGGTCCGGGCCCCTCCCCAGACGCTCAGTCTTCCTGTGAGGTTGCTAACGCTGTTGCCTCAGCATACTGTGTGCTCCTGGCCTCTCTGAGCTGTGGCTTCTTCATTCTAGAAATGAAAAGTCTAATTCTGGCATTGCTTTGCTGGGTGTGGGCGCTAGGTGTGGGCATGATGAATGCCACGGAGCCCGAGAAGCACTAGGGGCCGAGCGGGCCTGCCTGCCCTTACCTGTGCCAGCTTCTTGGGGTCCGGGGCATGGCTTATATCTGGATGCACATCTGACTGGCAGTGAAGCCATCACCCTGGTTGTTGTCCGTTCCTAATGCTTTAGGGTGGGTGTACTGCTCTGAGAGCGCCTGGTCTCACCTGTTTGGTGTTTAGCTGTTCATCCAGGTGTTCCTGAAGAAGGATGACTCTGCTGGCTACCGGGCCCTGGTGCAGACAGAGGATCACCTGTTGCTTTTCCTGCAGCAGCTGGGTGAGCGGCCTCGTTGAGTCCGTTGATGGTTTAGGCCTGCCCAGGTGTGCCTGTCCCTGCGTTACGGGGCTGGGGGGTCCAAGTGGACTGAAATACCCTGAATATTTTTTCCACCTGATTTTAATAAAATTTCAGCATTCTAGGGTGGGTTTTAGAACTTTGCTCACTTGACCTGTGGAATCCAATTATTTGCTCTGCTACTTCTCTCTCTCAGGCTCACTGACCCCTGTACCCCCTAGAGGCTTCCTTCTAGGTGATGGGGGAGGCAGGCTGAGCTTTTTTCTACCTGCTTCCCGCAGCAGGAAAGGTGGTGCTGTGGAGTCGCGAAGAATCCCTGGCTGAGGTGGTGTGTCTGGAGATGGTGGATCTCCCCCTGACCGGGGCGCAGGCAGAACTTGAAGGGGAATTCGGCAAGAAGGCAGGTAAGGAGGAAGGCGGCTAGGACCGCGAGCCGCGGGCGTGAGGGTGGGTTGGGCCACGGCAGTTGCTGTCTCGCGCCTTCAGCTTCTTTCCTGGGGAAAGGCATTTAGTCAGTCTGTCCCAGTCTAGCTCTGACCACGTCCCTGTGTGTTGTGGCCGTCTGGCGTATGTCAGCCATTCGTTGAAAGCAGAGACCTATACTTTCCTCCCGGGAAGGAGCCCGGGAAAGATGGTTTGACTTAACCTGGCAATAGCTGCCTTCGCCCGCCGCCCGCATACTTGTCGGACCCGGTGCTCGCTGTCCCCCACCGCACCGTGGCTCTCCAGAGAGGCTGCCTGGGCTGGTCATGGGCTCAGCTCTCGGCCCTTGGAAGTCGGCCCTGTCCCAGCTCCGGTTCAGTCCTGCCTGCTTCTAGCCATTTATCCACCGGCATATTCATGAACTGCCGGCTCTGGGCCAGGCACCCTGCTAGGCATTGCAGATTTTTTAAGCCGAGGATTAATTTGATTTTACTGTTTATTTCTGCTGCCTGGATCCAGCGATTCAAGGTAAAACTTGCTTCCTGCCGTCTTGTTGCCTGCTGCCTGCCCACATGGCCAGCTTTTGGTTTGTTTTCCTGATTTGCATCAGCGAGGCACCTGCTGTGTGTGTGTGTGTGTGTGTCTGTCTGTCCACACTTGAGTGATGTTTGCCTCTTACTTTCTTCTTTGGACTGAGGCTGATGGACACTAGGCCAAGCAAAGGCACTCCCCTCCAGTGGGCACTTCCGTCCGCTCTGCACTGTGCCGCATCCTGTATGTCCATCATGGGGTCTGATCTTCGTAACAGACCAACAGGTTTCCTGTGTTTTTCACACATTCCCCAAGATCACTCAGCTAGTTACTGGGGGTGCTGAGATCCCAACCCCAGGGACTGCTCCGCACTGTGCTGCTTTGGTTCTGCGACCACATATATGCGCCCCTGTGGAAGAAGATTGAGGGCGGTGGCCTCGATGGAGTGGGGTAGCGTGACGATGGCCCTGGGAGCTGGTTAACATGTCGAGTGCAGGGTCCGCACGGCAGAGCAGGAATGAAGAATGGGCAGCGCAGAGCCTGCTCACGGTGCCCACATCTGTGCCCTGCCGCTCCCTCTTGGGCTTTTGTCTTGGCGCCAGAGCCTTCCTCTGGTCCTTCTGGATGTGGGTCTGCCTCCTGCGTGGCTACCCCTGACCTCTGGGTCTCCTGTGCCAAGATTCCAGGCAGGTGAATGACGAAGAGCCAGGTAAGTGCGCAGTAGAACTTGCTGCATGGACCTGAGTGTGACACACGCTCCTGGGGCTTGTGCCTGGAGTGTAGACACTAGGAGAGGCCCCGCACTAGGAAAAGCAAGCGCCGCCTTGCTGGCAGCTCCTAGGCTGATGGGGAGTGAGCCTCAGCCATATTCCCTTCTCCTTGACTCCAGATGGCCTGCTGGGGATGTTCCTGAAACGCCTCTCTTCCCAGCTCATCCTGCTTCAGGCATGGACTTCCCACCTCTGGAAAATGTTTTACGATGCTCGCAAGCCCCGGAGTCAGATTAAGAATGAGATCAACATTGACACCCTGGCCAGAGATGAATTTAATCTCCAGAAGATGATGGTGATGGTAACAGCCTCCGGCAAGGTGAGAGGGCTCAGCCCGAGGTCCCAGACCTTCTAGAGTTCTAGGAGTGGGACACAGAGTCTTTGTTAGCGTTCTAATTTCCGAAGGTAGAATCAGGCCTTTGGCTTGTCTTTTTGATAGTGAGCCAATTGTTTGTCTGTCTTGCAGCTTTTTGGCATTGAGAGCAGCTCGGGCACTATCCTGTGGAAACAGTACCTCCCCAGTGTCAGGCCAGACTCCTCCTTTAAGCTGATGGTCCAGAGAACCACGGCCCATTTCCCCCACCCACCACAGTGCACCCTCCTGGTGAAGGACAAGGTGAGGCCATCCGTGCATCTCTGATTTGACGCCATGGTCAAAGTGCTGTGGCTTTTTTGGCGTTTTGTAACTTAAGTTCCTTCTGACCTTTCAGAGTCTGTGTTAAAGGGGGGGACACTCAGACCCCGAGTGCTATGTGATCAGGTTTTTTCCTTGCGGAGGAACCCTCTAACTGATGTGGGGTTGAATGTAGAGTGGGCGTGACGTGGCCAGAGCCATAGGAGGCCAGTTTTCTCAAATACAGGTGATTCCTGGCAGCGGAGGGATCTTGCTCTGTGTGCTGTGGAAAGAGGACACAAAATTTTAGTCCACACCTTCCAAGTAAGGTGGACTTTTGTGGCTTCGTTCTGGTGTTGGTAGAAAGGGGGCTTGAGAAGACTGTCCCTGAAAGGGAAGCCCCTGGGGTAGCTGACCCGGTGCTTGACCTTTTATTATTCCTCAGTGTGTCCAGCTCTTGGTTGACTTTGGAGCCCAGGCACTTTGCCATTTTCCCTTTCACCATTGATCTTGGGGACCACTTACCTTTAAGCCAAGACTTTTTCCTAAAAAAAAGGCAAAGACGAGATGAGGGAGTCCACACAGTGGGGTTCAAGTTCCAGCGTGGCACTCTTAGGCTTTGCTTTCTATTATGTTGGTAGTCAACCATTTGCTGCTTATTTCAGGAGACAGGAATGAGTTCTCTCTATGTCTTCAACCCCATTTTTGGGAAGTGGAGTCAGGTGGCCCCGCCAGTGCTGAAGCATCCCATCTTGCAGTCTTTGCTTCTCCCCATTATGGATCAAGACTATGCCAAGGTGCTGCTGTTGATAGATGATGAGTATAAGGTATGGCATCTGGGGTGGCTGGCGGCCCACCATGGAGTTGGCTGTCGGGGACAGGTGGTCCGACTAGGGTGGTCTGACTAGGGCCAGTCCATGGTGCTTGTGTGGGCATCTCTCTAAGGGACTAGATTTCACAAATTTCTGCAGTTGTGAACACAGGTTCTTAACTAAGGTGAAGCCTTAATTGAGCTCTGTAGACTAATTTTTTTAAGGTTTATTTATTTATGCATACAGAACTGGGGGTACAGGCCAGAGAGGAGGGGTGGTGAGAAGATTCACCAGAGACAGAGTGGGGAGCAGAACAGGCAGACTGATGCAGTACACTGCTGAGGGGAGCAGCGGGCGGGTCAGGAGAGGTCTGCTGTACCATGTGAGTCACCTCCGGATGGGGATTGAACTTGTGCTGAAGAGGCTTTAGCTTCTCAGTGCTGCGCTTTAACCCCCTGCGCCACGAGGGAGGGCTGACTCAACTTTTTTTTTTTTTTCCTTTTAAAGATTTGCTGTTTCATTAAGTCTCTCTTTGATGGGAAACAGAAACTCTACAAAGATTCTTAACCTTTTCCCTTTAACTCTTTTCTTGGACTCTGGGGTTTTCAAGGTCACAGCTTTTCCAGCCACTCGGAATGTCTTGAGACAGCTCCATGAGCTTGCCCCTTCCATCTTCTTCTATCTGGTGGACTCAGAGCAGGGACGACTATCTGGATATCGACTTCGAAAGGTAGGGAAGAGCCATCCTGGCAGGGCCCTGTGGCGGAGAGATGCGGGCGTTTCCTGGTTGTTTGGCTAAGAAGACTTACAGTGTTGATTCTCTTAGAGATTTAGGTCGGCATAGTCCTGACGTCTGACTCAAGGCTCATCGTTTATCTTTCTCGACATGTGGCAGGCACAGTTCTAGGTGCTGCGGAAAGAGCAGGAGACGAGGTCTCTGCCCCATGGAGCTCACTTTTCAATTCCTTCGCCATAGCAGAAGAAGGGACATCTTTTTCCCTTGGGAGGGTCAGCACTGGCAGTGGGGTTGGGTCACGGATACATCCTATACAGAGGGGATGCTGTTGGTGTTGACTTGATAGAATGTATGCTCTGACTTTATTTTTCAAAAGGGGATAATTTGCTCCGATTCTTACATGCAGCAGCCCAGCTTTTCCAGGCAGGATATTCACTGGCCCTGAAGTCCATCTGTTCAGTTCACAAAAGAGCTGCATAGAGGAATCATTTGTGGTGTGGACACAGGTGGCCCTCCCTTCCTGCGCTGTAAGGCCTTTCGTTTGGGGGGGTGCCGTGCAGACCTCCCCCACTGGCCAGGTCACACTGCAGTCAAGTGGGCTTGTACCCATTAACACACAGTTCACTTTTTTTATGTAAAGTGTCTAATGTTATTTTGTTAATTCTTTCAAGCAAAGCATACTATTGAGAAAAGTGCACGATGAGATCACAGCCTAGTGACTATGAAAGGCTGACCCGTGTGCCCCCAGGGCCCCATGGAATTCCCTAGTGTGGATGTGTAGTAGTGTAGCTGACCAGAAAGGTTTGCTTTTGACTTGCTGTGGCTAAAGAGCATCTGTAGTGTCTTGAGGCTCCCCTCAGCGTAATAACTCACTGTTGGCCATATACAGGAACCTTAGAGTTTAATAACGGT